AAAAAAAAAAAAACGATTAAGTGGTAACTAACTAACCAATGTTATTTGACATTATGTAAACTATTTTTTACGTTCTAAATTGACTGATTTACTCTTGGCAATCCGTTTACAGTGGGATAGTCGTTTACTCAGAAGTTTTGAATAAGCAAAATTAAAAAAAAAAAAAACTAATTAAGCTGTGAAGTTAGACAGATCCTTATTGATCAGCACAGCCGGCATCATCGTTATACGATGATGGCGGTCTCGCAGAGTTTTTGTATCTTATTAGTTTTGGCAAAGTTATGCTACAAATCTGATTTTTGTTGCCTGCAATAAGTTTTAATAAGGTGCAGTCAATTTAACACACATTTTTCATCAGCTTCTTATTTGATTCTGTCATAAGCTATTTAGTTTTTGCCCAATAACTACCGTGAATTGTATATATTTCGGGTGATTCGTTCTGGAATTATTCGGTTTGTTTTTTTTTTTCATTTTGTTTGAACGCTTTCTCAAAAAAAAAAAAAAAATTTCACATGATTTCTAATTTTTTTTTTAGTTCAAAAGCCAACATCGGTGCTGTAAGACAGATCAAAACAGAACTATCAGAAGAACTGGTGCAGCGAAGAAACGATAACACAACAAAAAAAAAAAGGAGACGAAGATTGGAAAAAAAAAAAGAAAAAAACAATAGTAAAAAAACTCTGATGTTCCGATAAGTAATTGTGAACGATTCAATTATAAAACTAACGTTGTGAAATAATCGAACCAAACCAAATCAACGAAATAACTGAGAGAGTGAGGGAAAAACAAAAAAAGAGAGGGAACGTTTGGTATCGTGCTGCTGTTGCTGTTGCTGCAACTATCAAAGTGCCAGTGGTTAGGCACCTTTGGTTTTAGCTGTAAAGCAAAAATACTGAGGAAAGCTAAAAAGAAAAATCTGAAAACAAAAATACCTCATTTTATCGGCGCGAACAACAGACACTCATCTCTGCCGTAAATATTACATTGAAAGTAACACAAATTTTTGGCTTTTTTTAACCCAACTTACCCGTCTTAAACGATCATCTTAGTTTACCGCAAAAGCTTCAAAGTATTATTTGTAATTAAAGCTTTGGGTTAAGAGGAAGCAACAATTTTCTACTTTTTTTGCTGCTTAAACTTTGTTTTTGGTTCTCACTGGTGTTTAACAGTTCGATATCAAAATGGCAGATCGAGAATTAGCTGCAAAACTTCAGCGTCGATATGCAGCACTATCGCTTGATAGCGATGAGCAAAAACCAGATTCAGTAATGGTCGCTGCACCACCTCCACCACCGCCGCCACCACCACCACCGTCACTACCGTCTGCAAATTTAATGGCTTCAAACAACCAATCATCATCGTATTTTGAACCTGATGAAGTTGTGGATATTGATGCATTGATCTGTGAAACATTGAAAGAGAATCAAAAAGCCTATTTGAAAAGTTTGGATAGTCAAAACAACAACAACAGCAACAACAACAGTAATAAAAATAATAGCGGTAGCAACAGTCATCTATATTCACCTCAAAAGGTACCAATTACAAAGGAGGTGAATTCAGCTGTTGCTGCAGCTGCTGCCGTTGCCGCTGCTACCGTCGATGCTGTCAAAGCGCAAAGTCCGTTGACGGTATTGATGCCAAAAAACGATGGATCAACGAATGACGACGATAGTGTTCGACGTCTATGTGCACCGGTGATGCGTATTACGCATAATAAGACTTCATTACGATCATCACGATCCGTAGATGAAGATGAACGCTTACAACAGGTTAAATTTTGAATTTTTTTTTACACTTTTTTTTACCAAAAATAAAAATTCTGATTATTCCATAAACAATAGTTTTATTGCGTCTGTTTTTGTTGTAAATGCATATCTCTAAGGGTTTTTGTGTTGTTAAAAACCATAAGCAGTTTTAACTGTGCAATTTCATTAAACATTAATTTAAGAAAGAAAGACAAAGACTCAATTTTATAAGCTTATTTCTGTTAATTTTAATGTTTTTTCGTTTACATCATTTTCTTTTTTTTTTT